AGAATTTTCTTTTAAAATTTATTGCGAGGAAAAGAAAACAGCCTAACAAATTCTACGATATGTTTTCATTAAAATATTCCATTTTTATTAAAATTGAGAATTTATCTTGAGAGTAAATGACATTCATAAAATAAAAAAATTTATCTGTTGTATTAGGGGCATGTAATTTTAGTTAGCCTCAAAAGAGTTGGAATTTTCCAAATTGATGAAACATTTGATAGGGTACATATAATTGAGCCGTTCAGTGCACACATCGATTAACTCCACTTTTTGAAAAATCTTAAATTTATGTGTCAAAGCACAAGTTATGACTATACCAAGTCAAAGCACAAGTTATGACTATACCAAGTGCTTTGACACATAAATTTAAGATATTTCAAAAAGTGGAATTAATCGATGTGTGCACTGAACGGCTCAATTATCGATTAGAAAATAACGTAACATTTACTAATTTTATTAAAGAACTTGAAGATATGAAATCTCAGTTTCTAAGATACAAAAATAATTTGTTCAGTATCAAAATTCAAACAAAGAACATTTCAATGTACGTAATAATAATTAAAGAATTCAATTAGCTATTTTCATTGGCACCAGTACTATCAATCATGAATGCGTGCTCTGAATTTTTTCTAAAAAGTTATCGAAGCTATTTAAATGATTCTTGAATATATTTTACGTATAGTATTATTCTAGCTACATAAATTTTTTAAATTCACTACAATCAGTCTTTTTAATTCTAGAATTATTTAATATTATTTTCTCCAATTATTTAATTTTGATATCGTGGCATCAAATGATTGCAAGCTATATGAACTCTTTTCTCAAAAACTATCAATCCATTTGAAATGATTTTTAGACATGTTCTTGATATACTATTCGTCTAGTTTCATGAAATTTTTCAACCATTTACCATCAACCCTTTTCGTTCCGCATTTATTTATATGAAATGCGATTGTATGTTGTGATTTGATAAGATTGCGAGGTAAAGGAATTTTTATCTGAAAAACTATAGGTAATAAAATGATTATTAGATATGTTCTAGACATATATATCCCTCTAGCTTGTTTAACTTTTTCAACCTTATATCATCAATATCTTTGATTCTAATAATAAAGATTAATCATTAATCGCTTTATCTGCGAATCATTCTAAAGTTGTTAATAAATGATACAGGTACAACAGACCAAGGTGACATCGGTTCTTTCCGAGCCTCAGCGCGCATTACTTTCAACCATAACCGCCGGTCATGAGGTGATCCACATTGCTGAGACCGAGTTATCCTGTAGGGCACAGATCCCAAAATTGGGCACGGACCCAGCATCGTTGAAATGGATCGAGCAGACGATAGATACGCACAAGCAGAATGTGGGCTCTCAGATAGCCGCGATGAATGCTGCCACGGCTCAGGTGGTAACATTAACATCCGGACCGGCAGACGACGTGGATCATACGGCCGTAGGCGCTGCTATAACCACAATCGCCACCAATCTACCAGAGATGACCAAAGGAGTGAAAATGATCGCGGCTCTGATGGAGGATGAATCTTCTGGAGATAAACTGCTGGATGCAGCAAGGAAACTTTGCTCCGCGTTCTCAGATCTATTGAAAGCCACGGAACCGGAAACCAAAGAGGTAACTTACTATTCTCTGAGGTGCAACCAGGTGGCCTCTGGTCGCTATAAGATTCAATGGTATCCAGAGGTCATCTGCGAGTATTATACACGTCAATGGTATATAAAAAAGAACGAGAATGTACTCTATGAAACAAGTATAATAATAATTTATTCATCATCCGTATATTTTAAATGTTTTCGGATATTAATAACGTTGTTTAGACATCTTATATACTATGTAATACACTGACCCTTTGACTATGAATATGATATTCCATGAACAATTCTATTAATTTTATTCCCGTTTCACGACCCTCTGGTGTTCTAGATAATATAGTAGAACTTCCGTTATTTGAACATTCTGTTATATAAACAGTGGATCCTTTATTATAATATCGTGTGTAAATATACTAGCTGTTTATATATTTACTTCTCTAGCATAAAACTTATTTAATAATGTAATATGAAATAATCATAATATACACTTGGAACATTATATGAAGGGGTAAGATGTAAGCCTATTAATCCTGATCTTCAGAAGCAAAGGTTTTAGTGCAAATGGTATAATGAATTCTTGAAGTAGAAAATAATGGTGGACACTAATTGAACATTAGTAAAAATGTCTTACTACAGGAAATAGAAAACAATCGGAAACATAAATGTTTCATACTTGTACTATTAATTCCATACACAAATTTTTATTTCGACTCTCTACGTTCGAAGTTTTCGATGAAACATACCATCAACGTCAGAATGTAGTATGTATACGATAAATATAATTTTTCGATCAGGCAAACTTCACATTTATCGAATGAATGCTGTATATAAGAAATTATAAACAAATTATGTTCGTTTTATTGAATTTTGTTTTAAATATACGTGTAATTCTAGACCTAATCGCTCGTAGTTCTATCATATGAAAATTCTCATATATGAACACATGTGTCCTTCAATTAGTTTATTTAATGGAGGTTCTATTGCATTGAGATTCGGAGGCTAAGAAGATGACAATCACTTTTGACCACTCTACCTTAAAAATATACTCGAAATAAAACGTAATATATTTTCGCTCGACCTTTAGCCGTATAGAAAATTCTGAAAAAATTGTTCTTTCCCTAAGTAAGATGCCAAAGTCATACCGGCGTTTAGTATAACTTTATGTTATCGTAGCTCACATCAAGTATCAATTCGTGAATTTTCCAAAATCCATGTTCTACTAAAGTAAAACGTGTTTTTATGTATTTTTCAATATTTTTCAAGTTTGATGAACAGATTTTCGTTTCCATTCGATTACTCATACAAATATCTAAATACATTTCAGGATTTTTCCTTAATCATCCAATCACTGAAGCGGGTGAAAAGTAAAATATATATTCAAAATTCTCAATACTTCTGAAATTCCATGACTTAGCGATTTAGTGTCTATTCATGAAATATTTCTATTCTATACATTTTCCGTTCTATACACGATAATTAGTAGACAGCAGATTTTTATGCAAAATACAACATTCATGGTACCAGTTAAAAAAATTCATTCTAAATAGACATTTCTTTTATCATGTAAACATTGTAATATCATCTTTTAATATTCTATATGCAAACATGCTTTATATTTAGTGCCGATACAATTTTCCTATAAGTGTATAAAATCTACTGTTTAATAATAATTACTGCGGGCGGAGTCGCGACGGCTAATTCATTATAAATTAACTTTACTTCTGTTTTTATACGTAATTAATAAATAAATTAAATTTTCTTTTCTTATAGCCAAGGCAGAATTTACTAAACGCTGCCTCCAGGGTAGGCGAGGCCTCTCACCAGGTGTTAACAACCATCGGCGAGGAAAACGACTCGAACCGCGAGCTCCAAGACATGTTGTTAGCCCTGGCAAAAGCCGTAGCCAATTCTACAGCGGCTTTGGTTCTGAAAGCGAAGAACATCGCGGCTACCTGCGAGGATTCATCCACACAAAATCGAGTTATCTCGGCAGCCACGCAATGCGCGTTGGCGACATCACAGTTAGTGGCCTGCGCTAAAGTAGTCGCCCCAACTCTACATTCTCAAGCTTGCCAGACTCAGTTGATGAACGCGGTCCACGAGGTGACGAAAGCTGTCGAAGGTTTGCTCGAAGTCTGTAATGAAACTTGCAGCGATGAAAACCTTTTGAAAGAATTGACTGCGGCTGCTAGCGAGGTCAGCAGAACTTTAAGCGACTTGGTGAACCACATAAAAACAGCTACCAGGGAAAGGGCGAGAGAATCTGTCCAAGAGGGAGCCGTAGAAACTATTTTAGTGGCTACCGACAAACTGTTTGCCAGCAGTGATGGTACTGAAATGGTGAGACAAGCCAGAGTAGTTGGCCAGGCAACTGCGGAATTGATTCAAAGCATAAAAGGCGAGGCGGAAAGGCAAACCGACTCGGAGCAGCAAAGAAGATTATTAGCAGCCGCTAAAATGCTCGCGGACGCCACTGCCAAGATGGTAGAAGCCGCGAGACAGTGCGCCAGCAGTCCCAACGATGCTAAGATGCAGGATCAGCTGAAACAAGCTGCTGAGGAGCTTCGAGCGGCTACTACTGCTGCCACCCCGGGTTTGAAGCGAAAATTGATCAGCAGAGTTGAAGTCACCAGTGTCAGTCAGTATTCGAAGCCAGTTGTTCATGAGGAGCCGAAAGTGGGGAGTAAGGCAGATGTTCAAGGACAGGAGGAGAGCTCCTTTATTATTGACGAGGCGATTAAAAGTATCGAAGACATGACTCAGGTACTAGGGATGAATGAATTCCCACAGACTGGCAAGAGTTACGGGTGAGTGCACATTTTCTGTTAATTGATATATTTTTTATCACTTGAGTCATCTATATGCGAAGCTAGAGAAAATATTTGTACGAATAGAATTGGACAATTTTCGAGAATTTCCCCTTTTTACACTGTTTTACTCATTAATCTACATTTTCCTCTCTCTCATTCTTCTACACCTTACTCTTCTACTTAACTATTCTACATCTTTATGTACTATTAAGTCTTTGAACTTATCCTTTTTGATCTACGCTTTTTATATTCTTTATTAATTATTTAGAACAAAATATGTTTCTTATTTATCTAAACAGATAAAATAAACTTACAATTCTTATTTGAAAAATCAAACTAATTACTGTATCCTCTTGTAAACTTAAATAATTCAAATATAATTCTTAAGCGTAACAAAAATTCTACTTTGCCTCTTTTACTCATTAACATAAAATTCTCGTCTCTTTTAACCAGAGCTTAATATAAAACGAAATTTAACTTTCAATTCCTGTATATACCTCTCTTTTACTAACTGAAGTACATTCCTAATCTCTTTTAACAATCCTTAACATAAAATGAAAATCATCTATTCTTATGAGTAACAGTTTTTCCAATTTACATATTTTCAAATATTACAAAAAAATTTAATCAGCTTCTCATTTGAAAACTATCCATAATTACTCGCCCTTACAGCATGAACTTTCTACGGTTTATACCTTAAAATCCATGCCACAAAATCTCTATATAATAAGATAATACACTTTGTTAAAAGCAAACTCTTATTTTGCTTTTACAGGCAACTGCAAAGTGACTTGAACAATGCGGCAGTTAACTTAAACAACGCATCAGCGAACGTCGTATCTTCCGTTCATTCGCCAGTTCAACTGGCAAGTTCCTCGAGACAATTTTCAAACGCCTTTGGCGATTTATTAGGCGTTGGAATGGAAATGGCAGGTCAAGTGATGACAACAGTAGAAACCCGTAAGCAGATGGTAGTCTCACTAAAGAACGTCAGCATGAGTTCCAGCAAACTTCTAACGACAGCAAAATCCGTGTCTGTGGATCCGAATGCTCCTAATGCTAAGAATCAGCTAACAGCAGCCGCCAGGGCTGTAACAGAATCCGTAAACTATCTCGTCGATGTTTGTACGTCGTCGGCACCCGGACAAAACGAATGCGACAACGCCATAAAGAATATCCAATCAATGAGATCGCTTTTGGACAACCCTAACGAACCGATTTCGAACGCCAGCTATTTCGAGTGTCTAGAAACGGTGATGGAGAAGAGCAAGAGCCTCGGAGATGGCATGACCGGTATAGCCAACCATGCGAAGAAATCTGAACATGAACAGTTCTCGATAGCCGTTAAGGGAGTGTCTTCATCCATTTGCGGACTAATAGAAGCAGCTGCTCAAGCTGCCTATTTGGCCGGTGTCAGTGACCCCAGCTCGATCCCTGGTAAACAGGGTCTCGTCGACCATAATCAATTCTTGAGAGCCGGCCAGGCGATCCACGCCGGCTGCCAGAGCCTCAGTAACCCCAGCAGCACCGAGCAACAAGTATTATCTGCTGCTACGATGATAGCCAAGTACACTAGCGCTCTCTGTAACGCTTGTCGGGAGGCTTCCAACAAAACGAACAATTCCGTTGCTAAGAGACACTTCGTGGAATCCGCGAAGGACGTCGCCAACTCCACTTCGGCTTTAGTGAAAGAGATAAAGGCTCTGGATAAGAATTACTCAGAAGCAAACAGAGAGAAGTGTGCCGAGGCTACCAAGCCGCTTTTGGACGCTGTAGACAATCTCTGCGCGTTCGCTAGATCGCCAGAGTTTGCTAGCCAACCTGCTAAAATATCAATGTCGGCTAGGGCTGCTCAGGAACCAATTACATCTGCTGGTAAAGCTATAATCGACGGCTCCTGCGCCATGGTGAGGGCTGCAAAGAGTTTGGCAGTGAGTCCCAAGGATCCACCTACCTGGCAATTATTAGCTAATCATAGCAAGAGTGTCAGTGATTCTATCAAATCTTTGGTAGCTTCTATACGCGATAAGGCGCCAGGCCAGAAGGAATGCGATGCAGCTATTGAAAAATTGTCAGCAAGAATTCGCGAATTAGACGCTACCTCACTTAGCATCGTCTCCCAAGCCTTGTTACCAAGGCGAGAAAACACCGTGCAGGAATTCACCGATCAGATGGAACGGAATATCCACGAATTAAAAGAGAAACTGGAACCACTTCGATCAGCTGCTAAGTTCGAAGCCGAGAATATCGGACACGCTGTTAACCAAATGATTTCATATTGCGAACCACTAGTTTCAGACGCGATTGGTGCTGCCTCAAACATGGTCCATTCTAAACAGCAAATGATATTATTGGACCAAACGAAAACCGTCGCTGAATCGGCGTTACAATTAGTTTACGTTACCAAAGAATCCGGTGGCAATCCGAAAGCGGTGAATCTTCACTCCGAGGTCGACGAAACAGTGGAATCAACGAAGGACGCGGTGCAAGAACTGCAGAACACGTTGGAAAACATTGCCACTTCTCATGGTATTGTAACGGGATTAATCGACACTATTAATAGAGCTATGGTCAGATTGGAAGACGACAGGATGTCTACTATAGATAGTGTTGACTCTTACGTGGATTACCAAACCAGGATGGTAGAAGCTGCGAAGGAAATTGCCAGACTGGCACAAGAAATGGTAAATTTTATTGTATTTATTAATTTAATCGTACAAAAAAATGCGTATGGATAAAATGATAGATTATAATATTCAAGAGATTTTACTAAAATTTATGAAATTAACACTAAAAATTATTTGTGCTTATAAATTCTTATAATTCGATGATTTATCATTTTCAGTCTACGAAATCGAGTATTGATGCAGCCAGGCTCGGTCCCTTAGCAGTGGATATCTCTCACAAATACACTCAACTGGCCCGCGACACTTCCGGTGCTTCCGTTGCTGCTTCAAACGCAGACGTATCCCTCAAACTCCGTGCCACTGTCCAAGAATTAGGCAGAGCCTGCGCCGAAATAGTCAGAGCTGCCGGCACTTGTCAGTTATCACCTGGCGACGCTTATCTTCAAAGGGAAGTCGCGGAGCACAGTAAAATAGTGACAGAAAAAGTGTCTCAGGTGTTGGCTGCTCTTCAAGCTGGTTCCAGAGGGACCCAAGCTTGTATCAACGCTGCCAGCACTGTCTCTGGTATAATAGGCGATCTGGACACTACTATCATGTTCGCCACAGCTGGGACCTTGCACGCTGAGAACGAAGGCGACACGTTTGCTGATCATAGAGAGAATATATTGAAGACTGCCAAAGCTTTAGTGGAGGACACTAAAACGTTGGTAGCTGGTGCGGCTTCTTCTCAAGAACAATTGGCTGTCGCTGCTCAGAATGCGGTCTCCACTATCGTTCAATTAGCTGAGGTCGTGAAATATGGTGCTGCCAGCTTGGGAAGTCAAAATCCAGAGGCCCAAGTGATGTTAATAAATGCTGTGAAGGACGTGGCTTCGGCGCTGGGCGACTTGATCCACGCTACCAAAGCAGCCAGTGGAAAACCGATCGACGATCCTAGTATGGCGCATCTGAAAGACTCTGCCAAGGTAATATGATTTTTTATATGTTATACGTATGTATTGTACGTTATTATGTTAACTGCAAATTTTTATTCGTTCATGAGAAACTTAAATGTGCAAAGAAGGGCAGGTTTTCTTTATGTCTTCTAATAATATTTGACAAAATATCCACTTTATAGATTAGTCTGAGACTACATTGGGTTCTTTTTATCTAAAGTAATTACAAATTCTCGATTCAAACTTTGTGCAATCATTAAGAGTCTAATGAAACTTTCAAATGTATTCAAGTTTTATTACATACTGTATTAGGTGAAATAAAACGTATACATTTATCACAAAGGTCTTTCGAGTATTTGTCAAGGGAAAACTATAGGCATATGTCAAAATAGATTATTTTAGTGTACAATATCGTCGTGTATGTGATTTATTCAGTGGTACTTTGATTATAAAGTAAGTTAGATTGATTTATTATATTGTTTCCCTTTCGGGTTACAAATTTATATCCTATATTTTTACATTGACCTTATTACTATCCTTATACACGTTCTCACTCTACGCACGCACCACTATATACAGTACTCTTATTTTTTATATATCGCCTTCTCTCTATCACCTCAATTCTGTTCCTGCCATTCACTATATTTATGTCCACTCCTTTTCTTTGCTTCTAATCTTTGCCTTTTGAATATCTTCCTCTTTTACATACAATTTGGATCTTATTTCTTCGCCGCTAATTTCTATACCTTTTCCTATAATTTTCGTTCCAACTTTCTCCCTATATCTGTACTCATATCTTTAACGTAAATTACGAAAATGTTCCTTTGATATTTCTGTAAATAATAAATAAAAAAAGAATCACGTAACAACCTATAATGAAATAAATTTCTTAAGGTTGTATTGGCTATACAGTCAATCCCAAAAGTTTATGTACCTTAGAAAAACGCATTTCCTATAATTAAAAAGAAACCAGATGTCGGAAGAACAATGATTTTGGATGAAAAAGTTTACTTAATGTTCAATTGGTTTTTAAACAATAAAAATTGATAGAGTTTGTTATATTATTTATATAAGTACTTTCTCATTACAAATTTTTGGCAGTGAATTCTACAGACTTTTAACAATAAAAAATAAAAAATTATGAATTTAAGGTAACAAAATTTAACTGAAAATAGACACTCATTATACTCTGATGGTTCAAAAAATATTGTAGGAATAGGATAAGACTCCTCTTATGGACGAGTTTGTAATTTTTATTATTATATTTTAATCAATAACTTTCTTTAAAGTCCATGAATGATGATTATTTTTTTAGAAATTTGTTCATAAAACAATGGCGATCCGATATGATCTTTTTTAAAAGTTTATCACCGTTTTTTCTGGATTATTTTCGAGATCAAAGTGAAGTTTTTTTTAGGTTATTGCTGATTACCATAAGAGTACATGCAAATTTCAAGTCACTATAATTTTTCAAGAAACCCATGAATCGATTTAAAATTTTGCAGGTAGCTTTTTAATGATATTAAGAGTCTATTATAAAAAATTCAACATGCTAGCAGTGAGGGCGCAAAATAAAATGTATTACGAAAATATTTTATGCCGAATACACTGCAAGAACAGTGGTCGATCCGGAAAATGTGCACGGCCGACTCGAAAAACCTCGTATCGCATGTTCTGTGAGCTTTCCTCATCCCTGACTCTTATCTGTTCTCTCATCCACTCTATTCCTTCACTTCTTCCATCCAATATTTCCATCACTCATCTATTCATTTCATCTTCCTCTTGAATTACTCTTCCATTAGATTCTAATTTTCTACAGCCCATTCACATATTCTACATTTCCTTTTCTCTTCACCTTTCCAATATCTTTCTGCTCCCGTTTTGTTCTTAATTTAAAACGTGCTATTGTCATCCATTCTTTTCCTTTCGTCCTTGTCCAGATAATTAGGTTCCACCTCTTCGTTTATCAATTTAAACCATTCATTGTACTCCAATATTTTCCTCTAACTCGTTTCCCTATTTAACTTATTTTATTTCCTTTCTACCATCTTCTACAATTCTTTTAGATCCTGTCTTCCTCTTATCTCTGTTTCAACTGTTCACACTCCTCTCTCAATCATATAATTCCTCATTTCATGGATTCATGTCATTTACCCCTTCAATTCTATCCCTCCTTATCCTCTCTTTCTCATGCCCTCGTCCAAGTCCGCAATAAAAATACGGTATGAGGTTGTCTAAAAAATTCGCGTCTTTTTTTTTTATAAACAAAGTTACGTATGAGTAACTTGTATAGAAGAACGTCCTTTTTTCTTTTTCAATTTAATTTACTTCACAGTTATACTCGACGATAATGTACAGTACTTTTACTACATATCTACAGTCTGTAGGTCTCAAGTACGT